TGTAGCAATGGTTGTGTTAACATCAGGTCAATTATATTAGTTGTTATTGAACATATAATACGAAGGTATGTCAGTGGTGTTCGTATCGTTTCTAAACACCAATTGAATAGGAAAAAAGATGATTCTATTCCAAGATCAAGCGAATGAAGAGCACGTAAATGTTGAAGAACCTTTTTCATGAAGTCCTCTATAGTTTCTAAACTCCATGACACAAAATAATCTTGGTTTGTCGCACCAAACTACATCAAATAAATAAAAGTACAAAGAATCTATATAATATAACAATTGAGAATTGAACTTTTTTCTTCCCTTATTCAAACTGCTGACAATAGAAATTCGTTATGAGAAAGAAAGGAAACGTATGAGAAGAGTAAATCTTTCCAGCTTTTTGGAATTTTCACAAAAGAGTCAACTTTCCGTAGGATCTTTTTTGGTTCGCTTGCCATTAATTCTGCCAAAAAATTGATGTAGACGAAAGCATCGAAATTGGTACAGAAAAAATTAATATTACACGGAAAAACTGAGGATTAATTACATATTAGTTACGTTTATTTGAGTTAGTCACAACTATTAAGAATAGGACTCTGTCAAATATATCTGATCTATTCTCATGAGAAATCAAATCATACCAACATTTACGATTAATTATTTTTTCGGAAGTTTTTTTTCAAATATGTTGTCGCAAATGGTTTTTTTTCTAATGCCGTTTTATATACCAAAAACGAATAAACTGTCAAATAATAACACACTTCTGTATATTATATATTTTATTGTCTGCTCTGTTGTATTCATTTTCTATTAAAATCATTTCTAAATGTGCTTACCCTACGATAATATGTGCTTGATTCAACTGTATGATAAATCAATATATTGGCATGCTTTAGTACAAAATAACAAATATCCGACGTAATCACATATACCCTTTACTCACAATGTTTGCAAACGAGGTAAATAAGGCCATTTACTCAGTTGAAGAGGCGATGCATAACAATCAATAACAAGTGAATGTATTTCATTTAATTGCAATAACTGATAATATCGAGTAGATGATAAATTGATATGACAATAGAAGCTTTGCTCAAGTAATAATGTTGTCAGACGAGTATTGAGTTTACTGAATGTTCATAAAGCATCCACACAAGATAGATAGGCAAATATTTCGATTAATGATAGATCAGGTAAATCATCGAAAAAAGTGACCATTGTTATTAAGTGGACAAGACGTCAAATAATGTGATGTTGCTTTTCTATAGCTAAATATAGAATGTTTCATGGTGGACGATTATTATAAACGTTTCTCTTTCGTTCTTGTAAGAGTTCATATACGTAATAAGATTTCTCTCCTTTGCTCTTGACGGCTGGCAGTAACATTTGTTCCATCTATCCATTCGTTGCATGACAAATGACACGAACAATGTGATGGGTAGTTCATTTTTCGTCTTTATAATTCCAATAATATGCATCATAGTTACTTATGAAAAGTTAGTTCTATATGTTTGCTACATGAGCCAACGAATGACACCAGCAAACACTTCAATCCATACACAACCAAAACTAAAAATATTTTTTCATATTGTAATACATGAATGAATTATAACAAATACGAATGTGCTATGCTAAAATATTTCCATCCTTGTGATGTTGTCATTTGATTTTATTATGTATACAATCTAGGTTTTTGAAAGATGGGTATATGTTTAATATTACTTTGCAGCGTTAGAATTAAAATTTTAGATTCTCGAACATCTTATAATCAATATTAGAACAATGTAACTTGGCAACAAATCTGAATGAAAATATCTCTTTGATATCTATTGTTTGATATAATATATAGCCTTTATTCTAGCAAAACAAATCAATTTCTAAACATATTTTCTTACACAGTGTTCAATCGATTAAATAAAACTTTATTATTTCATATATATGATGTAACTTTTTCATCGTAATATTTATTAAAAGTTATTATACGGACAAAAGTTTTACACATTAATTTTTCTGTAAAATCTAAGATTCATGTCTTGAATACATAATATTTAAATGCAGATGGTATCCAAATAGTAGTTTTTACGTATTTTTATACAAGTTATATCATTATGAAAGATGATTTTTACATTGGCATGACCTTTTCAACACTAGCCATAGTGAACGTTAAATAAATTCTATTCTACTGTGTTCTTGTGCTTTTCTTCAAGGATGGGACTGACTTTCAAGTATTGCTTTAAGCATATTGGAGACTACTCTGTCATAATCTTACCTTTGTGTCAACCACTAATTCTTAATTCAGTTGTATTGAATACAATTATTGTTGTAACTGCAAAACAATTTCTTGCTTTTAGTTTATTATAGAGAAAACATGTAAAATACAAACTTATCGTAGTATTTGGCATTGATACTGTTGTTCTGTTAAATGTCTGTTTATCATTACTGTACTTCAAAATAATAGACAATACAATAGTCAGTGACAGTAGTAACTATTAATAAAGTCAGCATCAATATTTTTATTTTTGCTTTTCTAGAAAGAGTAAGAAAACTTTGACATAATCAGATCAACGATTAAGAACTTGTCAGTTTTATCATCTTTCAATTTTGATATTTTGAAGAAAAGATTAACTTAGAAATGAAAGATACGTATTGATAGATAATGTAAAGTTTTGTACCTAACGTATCTCAAGAAAAATAAGTAAATATTTGCTGACACATTTTTTAAAATGACTATACCGTATCTGTCAGAGCCATTAGCAAGATAAATTTCTTTAAATCTGTTATATATTATTAATACTGTTGCTATATATTAAAATGTTGATATTCTTAAATTTGAGAGACTGTCTGTGAATATATTTTATTTCAAAGCGATGACTTGAGTTGTAAATATATGTTGATTATTTTTATTTGTTGTTTTTACAACATCAAAGATAATGATAAACATTTTATTATCTTGTAACAAATCTCTGTTAATACTCAATTTGTTCTTCTAATACATTATATGTAGTAACTGTTTGTCGACGAGATTAGATTGAAAATACTTTTACAAGGACAAATGAAACGAATTTAATGATAAAAGAATGTAATATTAAATGCTTTTTGTTTTAGTTTGAACATTTTTTGAACAGCTATTGTATCAATCACTGCTGTCTAATGTTTTATATTCTCTCTTTCTCTCAACTTTTCTTGATCATTTAAGGAATGGGGGTGTCAGTGAGAGTTTTTAGTTCAACCATATTCGCACCCACACCCTTATATGAAAGTGCACCAAACGTTTTCATTGTAGCAACTAAGGGTGTGGGTGTGGGTGTGGGTGACTAGTGAGATGTAACAAACAACCACCCACACCCTTTTCAGATTTTTGGGGTTTTGAGGATCCCAAAATTGAAGAAAATAAAAATTAGAAAAACCCTTTCCCTCATCCCAAGCAGAAAAGAGTTCTCTTTCAAATGAAAGTAGCCAGAGCTCTGTAGCTTGAAGTATACTAAAAAACAGTTTGTACGCGTAAGAGCCCTATTTTGCCCCTTGTTTTCTAAAAATCTCCTGAACGGTAAGGTTTAAAGTCGTGAAATTTTTTTTATGAGTGTACTTCCATGGACCAAACATCTATAGAAAGTTTTATGAAAATCTGATGCACTATGTCGAAGTTTGATTTTTGAGGGCGGGGGGTCTTAACATCTTGGTATTTAACAAACGCCCTATATAATGTGATTGCATTTGGTGTTGGGCTAATTTGTACGACTTTTGAAGATATCAGTGCTGCTGCTGTGAAATCTATCACAAAATGACAACAACGTAATGACACATTGTAATAATTAGCAGAAACGTACCAGCAAGAACTACGACTGATGTGATGACAATAATGAATAAGACATGCATTCTTCATAGTTAATCTTAAAAATAAATGATTTATTATGGTAAGCAGAATTTTGTCCATAAATCATACATAGAATAGGCCAAAAGTGACCGGAGCGCCTCTGATCTCTAGTAACTTTTGTTCCCTTCGTCTGATTTTGTTACATTTTGATTTATTTTTTCTCTTGAACCCAACTGTCTTCTAGTGGAAACAATCTTTAACACTGAAGACAGCAGGTTAGAAAGATCAAGCAAAAAGTACTTACACAAAGGAATAGGAGATACCAGAAATCAAAGAGCGCTCGCTTACACTAGTGGCGCCCTGCACATCACAGCAAGAGCGCCATTTTGGGGTGTGGGTGGGCGTGGGCGTGGGCGTGGGCGTGGGCGTGGGCTTATTTCAATAAAAGCCACACCCCACCCTAAGTGATTAATCATGCCAAACCTGATATCTTCATCCGATTCATTAAATGTGTCTTAAATCTCTAAAAGACATATAAGAACTATCCGAACCCATTGTCCGAAAAAAAGGCAAGTGGTCATATTTTGAATAACCTTTGATAGGAACAAGATTGAGAGCTGCGGTTTTCACCATCATTTCAAAAAGCAATGTCCGGGTCATCGATTGGTATAGAACACATTAAGACGAAAGATAATTTTTTTATAGGTATCTTGGAATGAACAATTTTTCCTTTGAGTATTTTCATCAATTTTCACAACAATCGCAACTCAAATTATGTCAAAATGTAGCTAAAATGAGCCCCTTTTCGCTATAAAATTAACATTTGTTTTTTTTAAATCCGCTTCGAATAATAGGTTGAGAGATAATGAAACATATGATGATTTTATAGCGAAAAACGGGTGAGGGTGTGGGTCAGCTGTAGACTCACATCCACGCTCCACCCCACACCCACCTTTGTTAGAAATAAACGCGAATATCTTTTCTTATATTAATACCAATAAACAAAAGTCTCGATTCTAATCCCAGTTGAAAATTGGATAGTTTTATCTCAGTGATAAGATTCTATTCAAAATGAATGTAAACAAATACATGTATAAGATAAATCGTTAATAGATAAATTTAGAAAAAATGATTCTTAGTATAACATTTGATTATATTAAATAACCTGTTAAATATTGTTCAATTGTATGACCAACTATTGTTATTTTAAAACACTAATAATTGAATCATTATTATTAAGTTCTGTCCAAAGAATATTTGACCATAATAATTTATTTCGTTTAAATTCATCATAAATATTAAATAAAATATTTAAACCATTTATTTCTTTTTGAATACGTATTAAATTTGGATAATCAATTAATTGTATATGGACCATAACAAATTTATCAATTTCTTTAAGTTTATTTGACATTTTATTATATAAATGTTGTCCCTAATGATTTATCCATTCTTTACAATGATATTTTAATGCTTGATGAAATTGTTTAAAACATAATTCAATTGAATAAATATTTTTATTAATTAAATAATAATCAAATGTTTGATTAATTTTAGAAAAAATTTTCATTATCTCATCATAATCAGAGTATGTACGAGATATTATTTCTTGTGAATATCATCCAACAATGATTTTCTCGTTAAATCAAGATCATGAATATATAATTGATCAAATCATTGATTTACATTCATTAGTGAATATAATACATCGATTTTATTCATTTTATTAATAATAGCAAGTTACATTTCATTTGGCAAATCAAGCATATTTGTGTTCTCGTTATTATTTGAAGTATTCATATCGAAATGAATGTTGTATTTGCTTGTTCTATATGTATATATAAGGCTGATATTTTTTATTTTTTGCGGACAATATTTGTGTTTCACAAACAGTGTCAGAAATTTCTTAGATTTTAAATTAAATTAAAAAGTATATAAGTATAATAAAAATGCATTATCAGAAGCATAACTTATCGGAGACGCAATGCCCATCTGCTCTCAGAAAAGAGTCCTACAACTCAACCTGCAACTTGTCGGCGGATATGGATTCGACTTTGTCGGGTTTAGTTTTCTAATATAATCTACCGCTCTCTATTTATATTCCTACGATTGATTTAAAAATCAGTGTATGGAAAAACTATCAGTACATGTTATCCATACAAACATACCATATGTGTAGGTCCAACAATTTATCGTTCCACTCTATAATATGAACAAATCGATGACAATCTATACATATCATTGCACATACACACTTGAAAATAATTGTAAAATTCTAGGTGATATTGCCTCAAATAAAACTAAAAAAGTATCATACTAGCACCTTTTGATCATGTACTAGTGTTTTATGTTTTTGAAAGCTTATAAAAGAATGTAACAATATTGTCATAATACTTTAACATCTGATATTTTACAATTTTATAGTAGTATATTCATTTAATAACTTGGCAAATTTTCGAAAATTTTCTTGTTACTGTATGAATGAATAACGTATTCTAGGGTCACATTTGAACTAAGTAGATTTCCTTGATACCTATTGTATATCTTTATAAAGATTGAAATTTGTATCGAACTACAATATGCGAAAAAAAAGCTAATCTAGCATAAACCAACATATAAAATTCAGTATTGATAGCCCCTATATTAATA